ATAAAAATTCAACACATGGGTAGTCGTATAATAATCTACCATCACTAACGTGTACAATTCTGTCCAAACGGTAAGAGTTGGCTTGCAGATTCGAATCACTTCTACTAGAATTGATATTAAACTTCCCCTCAGGCTGAGGTGATCCTCCAGTTCAGGCTAACGTGTCCACCGTGGATTTAGCATATGTTGTTACTTCGTGAATGACTCGCTTTAAACGAATAACAGCGTTTTCGGCGAATTCATTGCTGACAAGCGGAGTTTTAAAATTCAGAAATTTAATTTCTCATCGATTAACTAGAAAATGCAATTGCTCGTTCTAGCATCTCAAAGCCTGAGTCCGTATGAGTTGAACATATCCCTCTAAGTTTACTATCATAAATAGACATTTACGGGGAAAAATTTTTCAAAAAAACACATTTTTACACCATTTATTTCGTTGGACGCGTACTTTCATATTCCCACACTTTAACAATGGAGTTTCATCCGTTTTACGTGGAGTGGCGTAAAACTCTGTGAAAAACGCGATATTCGCGAAATATGTTTTTCATATCACCAGGGTAAAGCTCCAAAGCGTCGACCTCGTGAAGATTGGCTCCTCCCATACTGTGCTTACCAGATAGGGCATAAGCAGGCCGAAGTTGGCCGACCCCAGGAAGCTCAGGGCTAGTATCTTATACGCCAACTGAAGATCTGCTGGTCGATCTGGTGATGATGGGCTGTTAACGATTGTTGACATTGATAATTGAAACTAGAGGAGGTTACCATAGTGAGATGGAGATTAAATCGATGCTGGGCTTATACGAACTGAAATTCAGCACTACTGAGCTGGTACCTTCTAGTGAGAAAACAGTGGAGTTTCACCCGTTCTACGTGAAGTGGCGTAAAAATCGGTGAAGAACGCGAAATTAGCGGTGATATGCAGTAGTCGTGAAATATGTTCTGTGTTTTTCATATCACTAGGGTGAAACAAGGACATTCTTCAAGGAATCTTTCGGATCTCACGCCACAAAAAAGCGCGCGCGCCCAGAAGGCATCGCAACCGCGCGCTCACAGTCCTAGTTGGGTCGTAACTGAAACCCTAGGATTGCTGGGTGGCGTGTGGAGGGTAAGCGGGCCGAAGACCCGCTGGAAAAACTCAATATATTCCCCATTTCAAGAAGTGCCCACCGTCGGACTGCTTTTAGCCCACGTTAGGACAACCGGGCAAGTGGCAACAGCCCCTTGTAGAGGGCTAATGAAGACACAAAATGAAACTGTCAATAACTTGCACACTTGGAAAAATGAATTACTCCTTATATTGTATCAGCATGTTGCCTGCGCGTTTTTACTAAGATGGTACTAGGAAAGAGTAGTGGTACAATGCAGACCTCCACCGTTGGCGGTATCCTCTCCCTCGGTGGCGACTCTATACAGCAACAACTACTCTTGACGGCTATCGAGAAAATCGTATTAAAGGCAGTCAGGACGGTGAGTAGTTCTTCGCGAGAAACGACCAAGTCATTTTCAACGGGCAGGTGAACGCTGACGTTCTTGAAGCTGTAGCGAGTGACAGTGTGGAATTCATCGAAAAGATGGTAGACACGCATTTTAAAACGATAATAGAGCAGTTGGCCGAGATAAGGAAACATCTCGGCATGGAAATCTGTGCTAATAATACTACGACGAAAGAGACAGGAACACACAAAATACGCAAGGCAGTTGCATCTCGATTTCAATCGAATCAAGATCGACCACGAACTGATAGCAATGAACCCC